CCGGTGCCTGGTGTGGGATGATCCAGCCAGGTGGTTCTCACTCCGTGTCCCCACAGCGGTGGCAGACGTGGTGGTGGCCACGCCAGCGCGGCAGAGCCGGCGGCAGAGCTGCTTCGTCCGCGTGGGCTCCCTCTCGGCCAAGCTGCGGCACCAAGCCCTGCGCATCTCCATGGCTGAGCTGCAGCGGGCACGGCACAGCGCCCAGCAGGTCCTGGCCCAACTTCACCGCATCTTCGAGCTGGTAAGGACATGGTGTGGACCATGGTGGGGACCGTGGTGGGGACTGTGGCAGCCCCAGTGCCAGCCTGGCACCTTCTGGTGTTCTCCAACCTCATCCCTTCCCGCAGATCGAGCGGGGACGGCGGGGCATGGACGGGCCCCTGTATGGCACCCAGCAGCATCTCCACCGCATGTGGGTGGAGTGGAGCCGGCAGGATGCTGTGCCCATGGACGAGAGCGAGGTACAGGGTGGAGGTACCATATGGGGTGGGGGGGCTGTACCCATGGAGGACATGATGGTATGGTGTAGGGGCCCATATCCATGGAGAACACTAAGGTCCAGGTTGGGAGATCATGCTTGTGGAGGACACCAAGGTGTCATTCCCATGGAGGACACCAAGATATAGGTTGGGGGACCATGCTTGTGGAGGACACCAAGGTGTCATTCCCATGGAGGACACCAAGATATAGGTTGGGGGACCATGCTTGTGGAGGACACCAAGGTGTAGGGTCGGAGGCTGTGCCTCTGGAGGACACCAAGGTCTAGGTTGGGGTACCATGACTGTGAAGGACACCAAGGTGTAGGGTGGGGGACCATGCTTGTGGAGGACACCAAGGTATGGAGTGGGGGACCATGCCCAGGGAGGTCACCAAGGTATGGAGTGGGAACCAAGCCCATGGAGGTCACCAAGGTATGGAGTGGGGAACCAAGCTCATGGAGGTCACCAAGGTATGGAGTGGGGAAACCATGCCCAGGGAGGTCACCAAGGTCCAGTGGAGGACACCAAGGTACAGAGCAAGGAGCCATCCATACCCATGAAGGTCACCAAGGTGTGGGGCGTCCAAGCCATGCCAGGCAGGAGGAACATCACACCCCAGGTCCACCACTGCCCACTGGTTGCCTTGCAGGTGGAGATCCGCCGCCTGGCCGCCAGCGCCCGGGGTTTGCCCAGCAGCGTGCAGGAGACGGCGGGACACGTCCGCCATGGCATGGAGGGTGTCCAGGCTTCCCTCGCCCGTGCCCATTCCATCCATGAACTGTCGGATCTGGTGCTGGTGCAGAGCCGGGAGACGGTGCTGCGGGCGCAGTTGAGCATCGATGAGCTGCTGGAGTACGTGGGGCAGCACGCGCCCCTGCCCTGGCTGGTGGGACCCTTCGCCCCAGCCCTGGTTGAGTATCCAGAGGATGTCCCAGTGGAGATGTCCAAGTGGGAGGGTTGTATCACCGTAGGGGGGACACACCAGGAGACCACT